GACTTAATTATGATTTTCTGGATTATTCGATCTAAATGTTATTTAAATAATAAAATTTAACATTAAAAATGAAATATTATTGAAATATTTCAAAAACTAAATATCTTAAATAAAAAAATATTAAATTTAAAAGAGCTTAGGGTAGATCAAAAAAAGACATAAATAAAAGTAATAAAAAATTATTTAAGCACTAATAATTAAACAGTGGATATAATTGTAAATAGAATGGATTGACAAAACAGGGGTCATACATGGGATCCATATAGTTGGGATAAGACATGGATGATAATGAAATTGTATTTTCTTTCCCAACCCTTTAATTATTATAAAATAAAAGTAAAATAAAAAAGTAAGCATCGGTCATGTTAATACATATCAATACCTGGATATAAGACATATCGATATTTTAATCATTGGTTAAAACATATCCAACCAAAACCAATAATTTTATAATGTTGAGGAGGAACCTTGCAAAAATAAGACCTTGATTAAAAAACTTCCATTAATTATGAAGGCTAACGGATAACTGATGAGACAATGAGTCTAATATATCAATAGAATCAAGTTTAACTTTGAAGTTTGAAGCATCATTCAATAAATAGGAAGAAGCCACTATGGTTGCAACGCATTGTAAGGAAACTGCCTTAGCTAACATGTCAAGAACATTAAGATGAGGGTTAGAATCATTTGCATCACCAATTTGGCAATTTGGCTCGGTAATGACAACTAAGGGTGGATTCGAGCTGAGTTGAGTCGAATATGTGGCTATTCGAATTCGACTTGCTGATAAACTATCAGGCTCAAGCTCGATTTGAACATGAGACTTGAGCTCAAATTCAGCTCAAGCCAAAAGCTCGGAAGTTCAAGCTCAACTATGAATTAAATGTTTTATAAAAATAAAAAATTATTTTTTATTTGACATATAAATATACTATGCTCGAATTCAGCTCAAATCTTGGTTCAAATTGAGCTGAGTCAAGCAGCTCATGAAAAACTCGGTTTGTGGCCATCCCAAACGACAACAAACAACTGATCACATATAGAGGGTGATGCTAAGCTCATTATAGATTAGATTGTGTATAGAAAAAGTCAAGCCTTCATGGTCAATCTTTTTTTTTTATTATTATATCTTCTGAAGGGCTACACAACAGGAGTAGCCCATCCCCCAACCCAAGTGTGGGCAGGATTCGATCCCAAGTCTTTGCTACGATCAACGGGAGACCTTACCAACCAGCTGGTTGGCACCTTGCAGCCTCCATGGTCAATCTATGGTATAAAAAGGGCATACATCGTTATGGTTAACCTCCAAATGGAATGCTTATTTCCGCTCCTTCCATGCCAAACACCCTAATGATGAACACGTAACAAGCATTTGACTTGATTATATATCTGTCAATGAAATGCTTGATTATGATTGTATTTGGTACACTTGAAAGAGATATGTATTGTTACATCACATGTGAGTTATTTCAGCTATTAGATTTCAATCCCGCATAACAAGAAACACAGATTTACTGTTTCTAGAAGCAGTTCTCACACATGCATTTTTAAGGTATATCTATTTCAACAATAAATAGCCTCAAATAATAATTGTATGCTATTGATCAATTCAAAACATCTCAGATAGAAATAGAAAGAACAATGATACACCAAACACAACCTATGTGCAATTGTATTGTATAGTACTGTTTTTCTTTTAATTTTTCTGTAATGACATTTTGAGGTTAGGAGAGACAGGAGATAGAGACCCCCAACCTCTCTAAAAGGTGTTTCAATGGATTCAAGAATCGATACATATTATATGATACCGATGATACTTTGCAACTTGCAATATTACGAACCTTGCTTGGATACTCGAATAAGCAAGTTGAAGTCCCAAATGAAATCCATGCACATTTATAGGAAAGTTGGGTCATCTCACAAGGAAAACCCAGTGCCAAGTTGGAAGAAATGAACCATTGAAGAAATTGAAGCCACCTCACGTCTATAGAAATAGGTTTGGCAGTACAGAAAGCGATTTGCAAGAGAGCACCACTCGACTAAATGGATCCAATGGTGACTAATTGGATCCAATGGCTTTTGGATTCCTTTCAAGACCTGGCCCCCGGGAATAGACCTGTTCATGGGCCGGGAAGCCCAATGGCCCGGCCCGGCCCGCACCCCGGTCGGGTTTGGTCATGTAATTAGGCCCGTGGGCCTGATCTCGGGCCTAACACAGTAAGCCCGACTGTGTTTCAGGTCGGGCTCGGGATTTGTCAAAAAAGCCTGGCCCAAGATCGGCCCGGCCCAACTCAGCATTATATATTTTATAAAATATATAATATGTATTTTATATATTATATAAATAATATAATATTTATTGAAATATATATTTATAATTTAATATATACATTTTTTATTCTTTTCTTTATAATTTCTCTCTCTTTATTCAACCGCTTCAGCATTAGTAACAATATGGGCTAAATTTCGGGCTCGGGCCTAGGCCTGGGCTTCGAGCTTTTTATGAGGGTCGGGCTCAGGCCCAAGTTGTAGGCCCAATGGTCGGGCTGGGCTCGGGCTCGGGCCTTAGAAAAATCTGTTAATATAGAGTGAAAGCCCGGCCCGAGCCGACCCATGAACAGGTCTACCCGGGATGCATGCCAACGAGCATATTAGGTGCATTGTTCGGCGAAATTTGAAAAGAATACAAATACAAATATGTATAATGCGAATGTATACAAAATAATACAAAATACAAGGCTTTGCACTCTATGTATTTGCTTTAATGCTCTTTCCAAACTGAGCTCTAACTCGAAAAGAATCTGATGATTCCCAGTGTTTTAGGTTTAAGTTGCAAATAATCATTCCTCCAATCCGAGCTAAGCACCATTGTTCATTTTATACCACCGTGTATACAGTATACAATGGGACCCGTTATGTATGAGATGTATGGTGTTAGATTCATGGGATATAATGTTCACAAAATCACAATACTCCTATAGGTGCTTTTATTATTCCTTATGCTGTGTTGGTTGTAGTGCAAATAAATTTGCACTGATGTAAAACTATGAAAGTGCAAATGATTAGGGTATAAATTCTGATTTATTTTTGTTTCAATTTTTACCTTATTTTATTTGATTGCAATACAAATGAAATAAAATAAGACCTGAAGCAGAATAAATTCAAACTAGAATTTGCATTCCCATGCATTAAAATTGCACTGCAACCAAACACAGCAAGGTAATAATTCAGATGATGATTACTTTAATTCCAGTTAAAGTGACCAATTTTTTTCAGCAAAACAAAAAGCAGAAAATCCATTTCTACGAGTTTTTCTGATAATCTTCGGAATTTTCATTGCTCATATTCTGCAACACCTGGGTGACCAGGGTTCAAATCTTGGAAACCGCCTGTGTATATGCAGAGATGAACACCGCTTCTGTATATGCAGAGATGAACACCGCTTCTGTATATGCAGAGAAAAGGCTCTGTCCCGCATTGGTCAGAGCCTCTCGTGCACTGGGTTGCCCTTTTACAAGACTCCGTTTCTGTTAAATGCATGGTTTTCAAAACTGGACCAGACCGGAAAAACTAGTAACCGGTCAGTCACCCAGGTCTAGTTTTACTAGAAACCAGAAATTTGAAAAAAGCGTTTAAGTCAAAAAAACCGCTGACCCAGGCGATCGGACCGCTAAACCGTTCGACCCAGGCAGCGGTTCACGGGTTAATATTTTTATTTTTAATGTTTTAAATAAAAAACAAATAATAAAATACCAACTATATCCCAACCAGTTCGATTTTCAAATCCCAGTCCCTTATTCAGTTTAGCCTTTAGGGTTATTTCCCGAGTTCCCTCCTCACTCCGCAGTCCTCTCAAGTCTCAACCCTCACACCCTACCACCTGCGGCGGCCATCAACTCCAACATCCGACGACGACCGGCGAACTTGCAGCAGCAAAAAGTCACCCTCACCCAAGCACTTGCATCAGCGTCCAATGGTGAAAAAATTCACCAGACACCAGCACTTGCAGCGGCAAACGACAAGCTTGCAGCGGCACTCAGCACTCGACGAGCTTGCTGACTGTATGCAGTCTTATACCCTCGAAGGCTTCAAAACTTGAACTGATAAGCAAGGAATATCTTAAATTTTATCATATCAACACATTCTTCTTCTATCCTTCTTATTCTTCGTTTCCTATGAAAAAAAACAGGGTCTCATCCTATATTTTTCTGAATTTTCTTTATTTTGTTCTTCTCAAAATATGTTCAGATAATTTTTTCTAAACTGATATACTTTTTTCTTCTAAAAAAACAGGTGCTCATTACATATTCTTGCTTACATATTTTTTTCTATATTTTTTGGAATTTTTCTGTATTTTTTTTTGTATTTTCTGTATTTTATTATTTTTATATTTAGATATTTTTATTTTTTTCATATATTGTTCTTTTTCCTGTATATTTTGTATTTTATTTAAATTCCTATGGTATTTTTTATTATATATAAGTATTTTTTGTTTTTTTATTTATTTATGATGTCACAGGTCAAACCGCTCAACCCGGACGATTGAACCACCAAGCCGGAAAATGGTGCCCTGACCGGTTTGGTTTTAAAAACCATGGTTAAATGGGTTCTTTCTTTTTTTTCTAAATAAAGTTGCAAAAGCTGCTGTTTAATGGGAACAAAATTCCTCTATAAACATATAATATCGGCTGTTGAAATTTGGCATTTTGAGAAAGCAAAAAGATCATTGCATGGTAGGAAAGAGAATATGCTACGGTGTAATTAAAGAATTATGATTCTCTACATAGGTCAAATATTGATCCAGGAGTCATAACAGGGATCCATCAAGCGGTGGTTAATATCCAAGTAATTATGAACATTCACCATAATGCTTTAGAAAATACCCAAGACCTGAACAAACTGAAACAGTGGGAAATGAATGGTAGAATGAAATATTTTCGGGATGCAATTTACATCGAACAAAAATGTAAAATGTGCCTGTCAACCACACAGAGCAGAAATGAGGAAATAAAGGCACAGGGTAAAAATGTCATTCCAATTGCCACTTTATATTTAACCATATTTTCAAACACCCCAAAACTTGTAACAGTAACCATTAATGAACTATTATTGCCCACAAAATTCCTATTTAAAAGTAAAATAAATATACAAACATTGACAAAATAAATCAGCTCTGAGGGAAAAAGCTCAGACCTTAATCCATCCCAGGCTCCATCGTATCCCACATGAGCTCACAACTGGCAGAAGAGAATTTTGTTTTCATGGCCAGGTATGCCTCTTAACCTATCTGCTGCTAATTTTTGTTGTAGCTAAATATAAACTTAAGGCTAGACTCCAAAAAAAAAGACTCAGCTGGTTCAGAGTTAGGGTTCCATCATAACAGCAAGATGAAGGTACAGTTTCAAGTTTGTTGATGCTTCATTTGTACCAACCGGCAAGCAAATGCCTAAGCAGAAAACAGATGCAGCACCCAAAAACCTGCTTGAACATATGGAGAATTATGCCTGTGGCGTTCTATATAGCTAGAAATTTAATCTGTCAACCCATTTACAAGTACAAGGAGGACTACCTGGAAAGCAAGAAGCCGTAGGCAAAGTGATTTCTCTGTTGCTCGGCCAAACCATCTTAAAAATTTGTTGACAAGTGTTCCATCATCTGTCCCAGTAAGCAATCCTGTCTGAGGATCAAAGCTACAGGAGCAAGGTTCACAAGTACATGAGGAAATTTGATAGGAAAAATCTACACGTCTTTGACTTGGATTTTGAGCATAAATAAACCTAAAAAATAGAAAAGTTACCTTGGCAAACGATGTCGTGGACATTTATAGTAGCCAATAAGCTGAAGGGTAAAATAAAGTACAGGTAAGTTTTATGCCAAGGACATCTAGCCTTGCTCTTAAAGATTCTATACATACCGGGAAAAAAATGGAATGTTTCTGAGCATACCTGAGGGAATGATAAGAGGAAATTTAGAACTTGTGGCATGAAGAAGATCAGGAGTGTTTCACTGAAGGAGGGGTGAGATAAAGAGTAAGTTAGATTTCCCTCTCTTAAAGAAAATACAGCCATACTCATTGAGCATATTTAAATCGATGCAGCGAAAAGGTCAAGACAGATTTAAATTCCATATAAACTTGGACAATAACAGAAAATTCAGCTATACCCTTTCAAAAGAATTTCAACTATTATTTCAATAACAGATATAAATTCCTTCTTTTTGGTCATGGAAAAATAATTTTGTTTGGATACTGCCTAACAACACAAGGCTCTCTTCGAGGGAGAACCTACCTCCTCAAAAACAGAGAGAGAGAGAGAGAGGAAGAAACAAAGAGGAGAGGACTGTTCAAATTTCAAGCATGTTTCATTACTCCTTCAGGATGATGGTACGGTATTCTAGTGTGATGTTGCCTCTGAGAAAATATAAGTGGGGCAACCTGCAGATGGGCTAGCTCAAGCTGATGAAGAAATGGGCCTATCAATCAGCCTCTCACTAGGGACTGCTCAAATAGAGGTGAGGATGGGCTACCTTAGAAAAATATCCATTACCTCACTTTCCCTCTTTCAAGGGTTTGTGGAGTTTCTCTCTCGCTATAGCATTATACTTTTTTAGTTATAACGTTATACTTTAGGTAGGAAACTAAAACAAAGAAGGTAGGCAGACCACCTTGCCTATAAAATGAGAAAACAGCTATTCTCTTCCTACTGTTATTGCAACGGCTTCATTGCTAAGGTAGGATACAATAGTTTCCTAGGTTGCATGCCTACATAATATTCAATTCTTTAATTCAGTAGCATAGTTTTCAAGTCACCAAGGTGAGGCTAGGTGACAAGGGGGCACCTTGTCTCCTAGTCACCTAAGCGTTTTTTTTTTTTTTTTTTTTTTTTTCTGAATAAAAACCATGAATCCTATTCCTAGGGTAATTCCCTAGGAATAGGATTCATGGTTTTTATTCTCTTCCTACTGTTATTGCAACGGCTTCATTGCTAAGGTAGGATACAATAGTTTCCTAGGTTGCATGCCTACATAATATTCAATTCTTTAATTCAGTAGCATAGTTTTCAAGTCACCAAGGTGAGGCTAGGTGACAAGGGGGCACCTTGTCTCCTAGTCACCTAAGCGTTTTTTTTTTTTTTTTTTTTTTTTCTGAATAAAAACCATGAATCCTATTCCTAGGGTAATTCCCTAGGTTCCATAGCAAGTAACCATCTTTCACTAGTAATTGTCTATAATCTTAATAAAAATGCATAAATTTCGAGTTCTTGCTTATCAGTTCAGATTTTGAAGTCTTCTAGGGTTCAAGACAGCATACATTTTGATTGAACCCTAACAAATAAGAAAATAACAAAAAGAAACTAGTATTTTAATTCACAAGCTGAATAATTTAATTTAATATTGTCTGTTTTGTTTTTATAATCCCAAAAAAAGAATATAAATGTATCCAAGAGCACCATGTACAAAAGACCCTGCCAATTATGTGAAGCAACCCCCCAGAGGCACCTTGTCACCTACTTGACTACTATGTTCAGTATTTTCTTGTTTCTGCACACCACAATTACCAGTCTTCCGTTTGAAGTACCTTATATCAAAGCTTTAAGTAGCCCAAAACCTTCCCATCCAATGCATTATTAGATTCCCCATAATATCCTATCTTTACCCTCTAAAAACCCAGTAACTGTTTCAATTCCTTACTTTTTCTGGCGTTAGAATAAATCAGCAATTTTCTGAACTGTTTTTTTATCGATAAATTTAAATTTCATTAGATTTTTGAAAAAAGAGTATATCATATATAAGCATGTCAAGTGCCCCACACAAATATTGGCACCCATCTAAAACTAGCTTCCACCTCTGATGCTAGCTGTTGTATCTCCCTCATAACATGTCTTATATCTATACTGCCATAGTCATTGGCTCTTTCCTTTTACCCACCACTACTTCTGAATCCCCTTCCACTACCCCATTCTCATAACCCAAAGACTGACCCACTGCAATCCATGTAGTATTGCCATCAATTCATCTCTCAGGAAGTCAACATAACTGACTAGTCCTGAGTATACTGCCATCATTTTGTCTTCTTTGTTCCTGTAGGCCCTTCCTATACCCCCGATGGTCCAGGATTTCCAGTGCTGCATCCATCGAAGTTCAGCCACAACTGGTTGCATTGTGCAGTCCACTGCACTTGCACTCTTAACTTTTGCATCCATTGTGTATACCACCCAGCTTCAACTGTTAGCCTCTTTACCCTCTTCAAATCAAATCCCTAAATATGTAAACCCCATCCTAAACACGCAAGTTATGAACCTACATGTTCACATTTAGCACAGTACATAATGAGCATCAGGAATTACTCATTTGCTACTGCAAACACAGGTTATGTTGTGTATAGAGCCACAAAGTGGATTTTGTAGCAAAAAAAAAATGTATTTCAGTTATTCAAAGTTCCAAACATCCTTACTTAAAGCACATGACTGAGGTAATAAAGTCACAAAGTACCATTCCTTCACATGGTGGAATCTAGATAGATTTCAACTTCCAAACACCAATTTGCTGATCTAGAGAAAACTATAAAAGGGACAGAACTTTTACAATAGCTTTGACCTAAATTGAATTTTATAGTTTTGTAATTAGGGAGAGAAAAGGACTTGAGCAGGACATACCTGAAGTGTCCCAGTATGCCAACTACGGCCATGGTCATCCCAGCAAAGTAAGTGTAGGTGTCACCCACAAAAACTGAAGAAGGATACCTAGAACACCCATGAAAAAAAGAACATTTAGAATGTTGTAGACGATTAAATGGCTGGGGAAAAGAGCCTTGTAAGGGGAAAGAGGAGAAAAATGTAATATGCAAGTTTGTAAAATGCTTAGAAAGCAATGCAATAGGTAGACAGCACCTTATGAGCCTACTTAATAAAGACAAAAGGTTTAACCTCATCACGAGTTTTTGAGGTATCACCTCTTCAATAAGAAAAAGAGTAATTACAAGTGGTAACCTCTGAACCAGTTAATAGGCACACTGTTTTGTCCTTCAGCTCAAATAAAAAAGATGCATTGCAGCTATTGCTTTTCTTCCTAGCAGCCCTCTTAACATTTACCAGTTGTAACAAAGTAAGGCCAATGAAGTTGTGAGCAAAGGCTGGATAAGGTAAATAGAGAATGCATGAGCTTGTTGATATTCAGGAACTGTAGATGCTCCAATTTGCATCACATTATGTATCAAGATCTGTAATCAAAGATAATGTATTATTTTCAGATAAATTGACATCATCAAGAAAAACAATATTCGAGCTGTTATTCTTTTTCTTACAGCAGATGCAATGACAACTGTCTGCCCAGCTTCAAGGCCATTTAGGCCAGCATGAATGTTGATAGAGTTTGTACAAAATACTGCTAAAAGTCCCATATATAGTTTATATATCCATCCTGTCCATATGCAAAACCAGCTTAGGCCTTTGTAAAAACCCAATGATGGAAAATATTTCAACTTGACTAATTATTAAAAAAAATCAACTTGACAATCAAAAGGTGAGATATCAATTATAATCAGCTAATCAATACTAAAATCACATGGTCATTACTTAAAAACTTCTAAGGATTGTGACAGTTTTGACATTCTATGGTTATGAATCTATCAAAATATTTAATAATATACCTCATGATTATTGTTTAAGAAACATATTCATTCATATGTTTGATGATAATATTTGCATGATTTTTATGTTACAGAGAGGATAAATGGACAAACAAAAAAAAACAAGATGTCCATAAAATGAATGTGGTAGACTAGCAGATATGAATATGTTGAGTGGCAACAGTAGGAAAAAAATGGAAATAAGTGGAGTTTTTCAAGGGGAGGAGACAAGATAAGGAAAAGTTGAATCAGAAGGTAACACCATAATAAAGAAAGAAAACAAATACACCATTTCGAAAAGAGGGATTTGTAGAGGAGATGGGCCGAATGGCCCATAGGCTGTCATTCTATGTTATGTTTATGTTTTCCTCTGTAATGGGCCTTTTTCTGGGGCCCATAATCTTATATACTCTGTTTTTGTAATTTCTTGCCCACCCAAGGGCCTCTTTGTAATAATTCAAATATTAACTTA